GTACTGTGGAAACGGTAGTGGCCGTGCCGGTGGCGGTGGTGTTAGTGGTGGTAGTAGTAGTAGTAGTAGTAGTAGTAGTAGTAGTAGTAGTAGTAGTAGTAGTAGTAGTAGTTAGTAGCAGTAGTAGTCAGTAGTAGTAGTTAGTAGCAGTAGCAGTAGCAGTAGCAGTAGTAGTAGTAGTAGTAGTAGTAGCAGTAGTAGGAGGTAGTAGCAGTAGGAGTAGTAGTAGTAGTAGTAGTAGTAGTAGTAGTAGGAGTAGGAGTAGTAGTAGCAGTAGTAGGAGTAGCAGTAGTAGTGGTAGCAGTGGTAGTAGCAGTATTAGTCGCAGTAGAGTAGCAGCAGTCGCAGTCGCAGAGGCAGTAGTAGTGGTGCAAGTGGTGGTAGGGAAGATGAAGATGATGATGCTGATGAAGATATTGATGACGATGGTGATGTTCTTCTTCCCTTTGGTCTGTCGTCTACAGGGAGGGTTGGTGGTGAGACAATCCAGCGACAGATGAACAGACAAAACACGTGAAATGGAAAATGCTGGGTTGTGCATGGATAAGCAGCGCGGGGGCGGGGCAGGCAGAGGTTTGAGGTTTGGGGTCACAGGCCAATGAGTTTATGACAATGAGCAGTTAGGTTTGGAGATGTTTTACACGACGTACCTTTGTGAGGGGTTGGGCGGGGCCGCCGGATTTTGAAACATGCGGAAGACTTCTTGCAGGCGGAGGCATTGAAGTTTAGGGCTGCAGGCTTGGGGCTAAGGGTTTAGGGGTTGTTAAGGGGGAAGGGGTGTGGGTCTTAGGGTGTGACAACCCGTCGTAGTTGTGGAAGACGAGCAGGTAGAGCACGACGGCCTGCCAATGGTTTATGGTCTACTAAATAGTTGAACAGTGTATTTCGTTTCATCCCTAGACCCGCTAGTGCTAGTTCTACTGACTTCCAGTCGTATTGCCACCAGTAGAGTTAGTGTCTGACACTGATTGGCTGTTGCCCGAAACAGTGCATGTCTGCTTATGAGACGAGCACGACACCACCGAGCTATGCTGGCAGTAGCCAGCGAGAGCTGCTCATCCTCATACATGCATTGGACACCAACCGTCAAAATGAGAACCCTATCCATTTAGGGTTCTTATTTCCGGTGTTTGCATAACAGCCAAGCCACGACAAAGCTACCTCTACCAACAAAAAGCAAGAACCTGACCCCGAAAGCTAAGGTACCCCAAGGTTCTTAATTTTGAAGCAACCTGAATTTTGTGAATCCCGCCGGGGGCCGGGGCTAAGGTTCTTAAACATGGGTTCTTATACAGGATGCTCAGTGTCACTACCAACTAACAGCTAATATACTACTTACTGACTACTAACCACGAGCTACGAACTACTAACACCACCACCACCAGCACCACCACTCCTCCCCTCGCCACCATCACCACCACCACAACCGCCACCACCACCACTACACCTACTCCACGAATGGTTGGGCGTATTGCTGCTAGCGAGGCGCGTGCAGCTAAGACTGTCCCCGTTTTTGTTGTTGTTGCTGCTGCTGCTGCTGCTGCGAGGAGCATGACGATTGACACAGATTGTTACTGATCTATGTTGTTGCTACTATTACACTACGACGAAGGAGCGACGACAAGCGCCAGTCTTCATACTGCTTGCTGCGCGTGATGGCCGTGAAGATATCATACCGTGCTTTGCCCCAAACCCCAAACCCTTCCCTAACCCTCCAGGTACTTACTATATTGGGCCCTAGGGGCTCTAGTACCCTATATACTGGGTACCTGGAAGGACCCTAAACCCTAGACCCTAAACCCTAAACCCGAAACCCAAAACCCTTCCTCGTCAAGTCACTGGCTGAGGTGCTTCTCAGGTATCGAGGCGAGAGCTCGAGCCCAGGCAGGGAAGAAAGCCTCAAAAACGGTCCCGCACAGGCTGATACCGCTGCATGAAGGAATATAACAAAGGGCTCCGAATAAGTACCAACACTATCTTGGTTGTTCCGTAGTAGTATAGTGTACCTTACAGTCCGTAGTACAGTTATAGTCTAGTGTAACCCAAAGCCTTATTCTGAAAAAAGGCCCCTATATGACCTCTAACCATAAGAGTCAGCCAGTGTGTAAGTTTTAAAGTTTTCTTAATATCTAGCGGTATTTCGCTCCTGAAGTAGGCTTTATTGAGACAGTGTTCGCTGCAAGGTTGGAGGTGCTGACTCTTTTCATGAGTGAGTACATGCTGGATGGTAAATGACACTTTGCTTCGTGAATGCTTCCTGCCCCCTGTCGAGGTGTGATGTACCTCACCAACGCATATACCAAGGAATGCCGGATGTGGGAGATCACCGTGCCACGGGCTGCATCTATGAAGACTTCCAGATTGTACCCAGCCGACCAGATTATGATGGGTAGCTGCGTCGCTGGATGGTATTTCTGTGATCGTTCATTGGACCTTCGTTGAGGGCTTAAGCCCTTCTGTCATTTGCGAAGAGCAGCACCAGGTCCTCCTGCGGAAAATGGCACTCATGGCCGTGAATGCCATCCTTCCCGTGACGCTGCTCATCTCACTATACTGGGTGCCAGAAGGGGAATTAGTGTCTGGGGTATTTGTATCAGAGGTAAAGGGCATGCTCATAAAGAGAGGTGTTTTGGGATAACCTGAGCACTATCTCGTGAAGAGTTGGAACAGTCCGAAAGAGTTTCGCACGAATTTATTGTAGAAAAGCAATTGAGAAGTTCTATGGGCTCTGCGGTCCTTAGGGACGAAATGATCCCTAAAAGGGTTTCAGGTTCATATAAATATAGGGAGTCATAGTATAAGGGTATAGGGCCCATTACTTAGAAGGGTCATTTGGTCCCCAAGGGTTTGTCTTTCTCTTTACCTAGAGCCTTGCGATGGAAAAGCGCGTGTATGATCATGGGTATATATACATACACACAATAAGCATGAAGTAAACATCAAACAGGTGTGTGTGTATATATATATATATGTATACATATGTATGCGTGCGTATAGATACGTATATGTATGTATGTATATGTATATATATATATATATATGTGTGTGTGTGTGTGTGTGTGTGAGTGTGTGTGTGTGTGTCTGCTTGTCTGTCTGTCTCTCTGTCAACCTGACTGTCAGTCTGTCTGTCTGCCTGCCTGCCTGCCTGGCTGTCTGTCTGCATGTATGTATGTATGTATGTATGTATGTATGTTTGTTTGTTTGTATGACAATGTATGTCAATGTATGTGTGTATGTTGGCATGGATGCATGTATGTAAGCATATATATATGTATGCATTTGTGTATGTATGTATGTATGTATGTATGTATGTATGTATGTATGTACATGTATGTATGTACATGTATGTATGTATGTATGCATGNNATGTTTGACACATCCTTCACTATGATTCAGTCAGTACATAAGTACATGTGCGTGTGCGCATATACATGTCTCATTTACATACACATAGGTTCACTTGCATGGGACCTTGTGGTAACTCAACGATGTTTCTCGGCACGGGATCAAAGCGCCTGGTGGCCTGTTGATGTTCCTTTGCAAAATATTCATCATTAATATTGACTAAACATGATCAGCAAGTTTTCTATGAGTAAACTCGATACTCACGGATTAGTTGATAGAGCACTCTGAGAGCTTGCCGACGAAGCAGCGAAATTACAAACCGGCTATTGCCGCTTCATGAAATTGCCGGAGTCGTCTTCGTATCATATTCTGTCGTTCGATGGTCGTTACCCATGGTAGGGTTCTTTGTTCCCGAGTTCTCGGGCAGTCTTTTTACGATCCATGCCTCTCGCTCTTGTACAAGAAGATCCTAAAGCATGGTTCCAATCCGATCCCTCGGCAAAGACCTGGGAAGTTTTGCTTGCAGCCTCGGATCGGATGTCCGTTTTGTCACGATGCTCCAAGGCTGTTTGCAACTTCGGACGCCTCTGATGAGTAGTACGCAGTGGGAGTGAATGTCTCTTGTGTTCAGCCCCCTAAACCCTAAACCCT